TGCTCTGTCTTGGTAAAGGTGCAGCCAGGGTGCTCTGTCTTGGTAAAGGTGCAGCCAGGGTGCTCTGTCTTGGTAAAGGTGCAGCCAGGGTGCTCGTTGGAAGCAAAGATGATGAAGCTTTAGTTAGATGAGGCTATTCCTTACAGAGGGCATTATGCTTGGAAAGATGGAGGGTCAACAAAGGAGAGGAAGACCCCACAAGATAAATTGACATGGTGGCTTCAGCAATGGGCTCTAGTGCATCAGAGATGATAAGGATGGCCCAGGATAGGTCAGGATCCAAATTGGCTGTTCATACTGCTGCTATGAGTCGTATTCGACTCAATGACACATAACAGCAACAATAACAAGAGCGTATTTACTCAAGGAGCTCTGGTGATGAAATACATAGGGAATTTCAGAGCTAAGCCAAAAGATGAACCTTTCTGGTGGTTCATATCCACCAGAAGCTCTTCAGAGAAAGATGAGCAATCTTCTTTGTGACTGACAGCCTGGAAAACCCAGTGGAGAATCAGTTGTAAGTTGGCTCTGACCTGGCAGCAGTGAGAAATTCTTGCTGAAGTTAGTAATAACTTCAGATTAACTCTTGCAAAGCTCAGGGCATAGAATTTCAGGAGTTATTTTGTTTCAGTACCCAAGATAGTTAGATAATGTTTTAAGAACTGAGGGAGAAAGATTGATACCATCATTGCTTTTGTATTAAGTTCTAGATTGTTGTCTTTATTTTATGCTGTCTTGTCCTCTCTTAGCTATCCAGTCATTGATTATAGACTCAGACTTGAGTGTTCCTTCTGAAGTCTCAGGAAAGGCACCCCATCTAGACCCATGCAGGGCCAGTGCTGGGCCCTAGCACTGGCTGGGCCTTATACACCTTTAGGCTTCTGCTGTAGTTCTTTCTAGGAAGTTTTCATGCCTCTTGTAGTGTATAGGACAGTTAGGGAATCAGGGAGACCAATATTCTTATCCGCATCTAATAACAGTTGTCAAGCGAAGGTGTGTGGTTCCCACCACCTGCACTGAATGTACTTGAGCCTGGGAGAGACCTAATTCCAGTGTGGCTGTCACCACTCTGCCCCACCTTGTCCAAGCAATGAGGAAAGATATTACATTCACAGTAACCCATCCGTTAAGAAATTTTAGAAAAAGGAAAAGGCTGCCTCTTGATCTTTTTATCACACTTAGGGAAACAGCTCAATTTTCTGTACCTTACAGATTTCTGGGGAACTCTGAGAGGATAATCCATAGTGGATTTTGCTGCTAACACAAAGATTATGTCTTTGGCTGTTCAAATCCACCAGCAGCTCCTAGGAGAAAGATAAGCAGTTTCCTTCCATTGTGATTTATCGCCTTGGAAACCCAGTGAAGTGTCGTTGTGGGTCGTAATGTGCTGGACAGCAGTGGATTTAGTGTTCATAAATCGATCAACAGATAAACAGATATAAACACATACATGTGCATCTCTATATCTGCATATACACATATTTCTGTGAATGTATATACTAATATGTTTATGTGTATGCAGAGCAGATTATCCGAGAGGCTGGGCTCTATGAGGAGAATTGTGGCATCAGGATTGGTGGAAGGTCTATTAACAATCTGCGTTATGCAGATGACACAACCCTGCTTGCTGAAACTGAGGAGGACCTCATGCACTTGCTGCGAAGGGTCAAGGACTGCAGCCTTCAGTGTGGACTAAGGCTCAAGGTCAAGAAGACAAAGATTCTCACCACTGGACCAATTGGCAGCGTCAGGATGGATGACGAAGAGATTAAGATTGTTCACAGCTTCAGTTTGCTCGGCTCCACAGTCAACACTCTTGGTACCAGCAGTCAGGAAATCAAAAAGCGTATCGCGATGGGAAAGTCTGCTGTTAGGGACCTCTCTAAAGTACTCAGGAGCAACAGTGTCTCTCTGGAGACTAAGG